TAGGGAATTTGTTTGATTATATATTTGTATGGTTGGAGTCTCGCGAATCAAAATTCGCGACAGCCCTCAAGATTTAGGTGGAAAGGTCCAAAAGGGGAGGAAGTAAATGGTACTACATATGTAGTACAACTTATTAAGTGAAATAAGTGGTACTATATTTTCTTTTGCTATTTGTCAATTGATTTAATTATCAATGTTTGCACTATTTTTTTTCCATCACTTATGCATATTTAGTTATATTCAGTGTATAGTTATGTCATTGTTAGAAATGTAATGAATGTAGCATTGATATGTCGATATATTACGTCCTAATTAGATTATATTGTTGCAATTCATAACGTATAATTAATCACTGGAACACTGCTAGAATAATGAATCAAGTTATAGGACACATGACTGGGCAGTTTGTACATCTGACACCAGTTCATTTAATGGCAACAAGTGCATCTATTGGCTATAAAATGCCAGGTCGTCTTCGAACTTTGCTTAACCTGGTAGAAATTTTTTGGATTTATTCAGAGAAATTACGTTTCGAGCTAATCTTAGAACTATTAATTTATTGAGAATTTTGCAGGTAGTACAGTATGCACTGCAGGGAAGGTATGAAGTGGCAGCACCGCTCTGCAAGGAAGCTCTGGAAGATTTTAAAAAAATGAGTGGACGCAATCATCCGGATGTCGCAACAATGCTTATTATTCTGGCCCTTGTTTATCAGTGTTTCTTTCACTTTGTTAAAAGAACAGCAGTGAGATTACGTTTTTGATCATCATTATGATTTTGATTAAAATAACTGTTTCCATTACGGTCATTTGAGAAATTGGAAATTTTTTTTTTTTTTTTTTGTTTCTACCTCTCTTAGGCTGATTCCGTTTATTTCCCAGAGGATAACAGAAAAGAAATGCTTGTAAGAGTATCAGATCCATCTTAACATGAAAGTTCAAGGTAGTTGTTAGACAATCTTGAGGTGTGCGTTCACTCAATATTTTAATGTAGGATTTCCTGTTCGAATTCAATTGAATTCAATTTTTTCTTCAGTGATCAAAACAAGTATAAGGGGGCAGCCAACTTATTAAACGATGCATTACATATACGTGAGAAATGTCTTGGTGAAAGTCATCCCACTGTTGCAGCAATACCTGATGATGTGGCGGTGTCGTATGAGAAACAGGCAGATTGAAGGATGCAGAACCACTCGTAAAAGGGCTTTGGAAGTCCGAGAAAATGCCCGTTTTGTAATTGGGATTTTATTATTTTGATGGACTACACAGTTGAAGTTTTAGATTTCATTTTGCTACCAGTGTCTTATGCTGTAATGAACTTTTTAGAAGCACTGATAGCTATCCATAAATTACAAGTACTTTTTTAGATGCTTGGCGCAGATCATCTAGATGTAGCTAAGTAGTTAAATAATCTTGCTTTACTTTGCCAAAACTAAGGCAAACACGTGAAGTTGAGAAGTATATCAAGTGTGCACCCGAGATGGTGCATCCGAGATGCACCCTGCGCAGATCCACCCTACACATGGTGAAACGAAGCAGACTGCATCAGCTAAATCACCATATTTAATCGAATTAATAGTCAAATTCTTATGGAAAATGGATTGGAAACATAATTTGCAATAGTCAAAAACAAATCAATAAGTTGCATAAGATTCAATCATTTGGATTGAAATTTCGAAATCTTTTTTGGTAGGGACTGCAGTAACATTTCTTTTTTTAAATATTGTATAAATGTAATCGACTAATGTTCGGGCATCTTAATTAGAGGTAAGCATTTGTGAATTAAAGTTGGAAATTTGGTTATGGTGAAGTTACGACAATAGATTGGTATAGTGGTTAACTAATTTAGTGTTATAATTAGATGACAGTGCAGGTAAGCATATTTACCAGAAATTTCATAAGAATAAGTGGGTAAGTACTTTCTGTCAGCAATATTTCTTCATCCTTGAATATTTTGATTGCTACTTATGATTTACTCCTATTTTATTGTTAAAATTTGATTCTACTTTTTTTTTTATCATTTTGCTCTCGTCAAATGCTGCCCACTTTCTCACACATTTTTTTTTAGTTCGAGTTTAAATGTAAATGTAATAATTTCATTCCGACGACAAAATAATTTTAAAAAAACTGTGATAGAGATTGAATTTTAAATTGACGATCCAACATAGACGAGTGTATCATGTTCTTAGTGTTATTTACTGCTATATTAGATCTATCTAATTTGTAGACATAGTTTTACTTTTTTTTATGTTTAAAAAAATTAATTGTTGGGAAGAAATTTTCAAAGAGGTTTTCAAAAAACCACATTTAAATATATTAACGAGAATTGCAGAAATATGAAATCGTACTACTTTAGTCGCATCTTTTATCTATTCATTATATTCCATTTGTCCATTGGTCACTCTAACTAACGCATTTTAGCCCTTTATGTTTTATTTCAATTATTCCTCGCTTGTAGGAATGTTTGTTTAACGCATTAAATTATTTTATAAGCAATTTCGTTCTCTTGATTTTTTTTTCCAAATTTATAGAGTGGTTCATTAATATATGAATGTATTTCTTAAAAAATGGAAAAATAATCACACCTATAAATCAATTCTTAAAAGAAAAAACGTTATAAAATCAATCCGTTATTAAGGATACATAATTCCGCTTTCTTTCCTTGACTCTAATAATATATTCCAAATGCTATAATTAAATGACATTTTTCATCTGCGAATTTTGTTAGTATTTATGGCTGATAAATATTTCGAATGTTTTAATTTTTCACATGCTACTTAGTCAGTATTTTGAAATCTGGCTAATGAATATTTGGAAAGTGTTATCATACAGCATTCTTAATATCCTTTTATATTCATGCAGCTGCCTGGAAAGGATATATAATTCCTGTCAACATGATGCTAATTAATAATTCCAGATCATTTTTACATTTGTTTTAATTGATCTCCCTGTAATTGTGTTGTCTCGCTTTTAATCCTTGCAGTTAAATTCTTATGTATCTACCCTATAAAAAAATTTAATCCGCTAAGCAGTAACATTTTCAGGCTTATTATGAATGTGGATATATGTAAGCAAGCAAGTGAGCTGGCTAACAGTGTCACATTGAGCATTGTTCTCACTGTTATAATTAACATGTCAATTATAGCAATTCCTCTTGAAATATGGATAGTGTTTAAAACAACAAATCGTATTTTACTGCATCAAAATACTCGAATTTTAATTATCACACATCAGCTATGGCTTATTTCCCATTGTATCGCAAGGTTGTTTTTTTTTCCTTTTTCCAGATGTTCAAAAATTAAAATTTCACCATTTTTCTACAACCACCTACAGTAATGTAAAGTTTCTTCAATTCTTTCAAATCCTTCAAGTGATTAATCAGTTAATCATCCTTGTGCTTTGGTTTTCTTTTTTCTGAAGATCAAGAAGCAAACAGAAACTTTTAGGGAATTGCTGCGAGAAAGAACAAGAAGCTTAGATGGTGACATAAGATAAAATGTAATAAAGCAGAGATAATTTTAATTTTATTACTCACCACTATCACAATGTGCTATATAAAACTGGAACCAACCGATACCGAATAATACAG